TGCGGCACAAACTCATTCATTTCATGTCCATTATACGTCACCTTCCCACTAGCCTGATTTCCGAGGAAAAACAATACACAATTAGGCAACTTACAAGATAATTCCATGTATATCTCTATGTCATCACGAGTTGTACTACAATCAATAGTGTAAAAGAATTTTTACACGATCAGGTCACTTAGAGTAAGTTAAACTTAAATGTTTCTAATACGTACATCGATTAGTAACATTGACAAAATATGGTAACTCATCTGCCATCTACAAATAGTATTGTACTGTCAGTATATATAGCTTAAACCCGTTCGATATTTAGTACTTACTTTAAGTTCAGTGTCAAGTTTTCCAGCCAAAGCTAATAAGAGAGTAGTTTTGCCAGAACCAGGAGGACCTAAAAGTAAAGTCAATCTGCAAGGCTTGATGATACCGCTCACGTCATCAAGAATAGTGAGTTTCCTCTTTCGATTTGGTACGATATGGAGAGAATACAGCAATGGCTATAAGCACGAACAAAAACAATGATGTTAGTTTCAAACATTTTCTTCAATCAAATGAGCTTCGAGATATGGAAATCAAGATTTTGGTTCTGATTTTTACCTCGATAAAGTTAGTCACAAAGTTGATAAATGTAGGCAAAGCACTGCTTCCTACATATGCATCTGCCTCAATTTTTAGATGTTCATATCTTACTTCAATTGTTGGCAAATCAATCCCAACTCTGTAGAAAGTAAAAATATGTCAAACAACTAAAAAATTTGATAAATAAAGAGTCGAATCAACGATTAAAGTCCGTGAGTTCATAATGAGTGTGATCTTATTACTCTCTCTGTGTATCATTTTTATGTGATCAAACACTTTTCTATGACATCTTTCTCAATCCGAACTTAAAAAGTTCAAATCTTGAATATGCCTCTAAACCGAGCTAGGAAAATGAAGGAGTATATGCAAGGGCAGACATAGTGAATAAGCTACGCGTACATGTGATCTTAGTAGCTTCTGTTTAAATCCTATATACACACTGAAAATACCCAGCGAAAAGCTCAAGTAACATATTTTAACCACCAAAAAGCACAAGTAAAACATTTTTACTGCATAACTTAGACAAGACGTCATAAAGTTCAAATCTTGATTTTCGCTCCGAACCAAACTAAACTAAGCCACCAAAAAAGAAAACAAATTTTGACCACCAAAATGCATAAGTAACACATTTTAACCACCAAAAAGCACAAGTAACACATTTTAACCACCAAAAAGCACAAGTAACACATTTTTTACCACAGTTTCATAGACAGAACACGATAAAGTTCAAATCTTGAATCTACCCTCGGAACCAAACTAAACTAAACCACCCGAATTAGCCTAAGCTCCACCTCAAACACAAACATAAACAAAAAAGACTCAATCTTTCACAGCCCCTCCTAACCAAACCAACAGAACTCGTCTTAAATCCGCCTCAAACACACAAATACACAATAAAGACTCAATCTTTCACAACCCCTCCTAACCAAACCAACAGAACTCGTCTTAAATCCGCCTCAAATACACAATAAAGACTCAATCTTTCACAACCCCTCCTAACCAAACCAACCGAACTCGTCTTAAATCTGCCTCAAACACACAAATACACAATAAAGACTTTCACAACCCCTCCTAACCAAACCTACAGAACTCGTCTTAAATCCGCCTCAAACGTCCAAACGAACAATAAATATTCAATCTTTTCACATTACCTATCAATTCTATCTCTGAGTTTCAACAAAAACTTCTCATTATCTTCATCAGCAACTTTAACAAGCCTATCAACCAAATCTTTACTTTGTTGATTACCAAGATCATGTATATCAATTTCATTAGCTCCAAATAAAATTCCTTTTCTTAAACGATCAAAAGTTGGTAACTTTTCAAGTGCAGCCCATTTAAGTGCTTCTTCATCATCTTCATCTCTTGATGAACGATTAAATATATTATTATTTCTAAATATTGAATTACTATCTGATCTAAAACTTCCTCTAGAACTTCCTTTTACACTTCCTCTTAAACTACTACCTCTCAAATTACCAAAATCTATTGGTTCCATTTCTTTTTTGGACCAATCAAAATACAACACTATGTTTTAGATATGCCCAAGAAATTTTCTTGAAGTTTTTTTTGGAAACAAAAGTGGAAATGAAAGAGTTTATTGCAATGGTGTAATAGGCTTAAGGGGATTATATATAACATGTAGTATGGGGAAAATGGTGTGCTGTTTGAATGGATTTTCTTTAAAATATTATTCTTTAAAAAGATGCATTGAAAGATATTTGATGTCATAAGTGACATAATGTACGTAGAATGTCACTTAGAATACGAATTGTTGCATAAGATATCATGTAAGACGTATGTATGTATTGGTTAAGTACTTACTTGTGTATGTCCAATATTTGATGACATAAATATCAGTTGAAATCAAGTTAAATGACATATTAAGCAATAGTAATTTCATATCGCCATGTTGGATTTTGGTTTTCAGAAATCGACTAAATTTGAATTTGCGTATTCTAAGGTTCATTTGGAGATGGTGCTTTTAATAGGATTTTTTTTATTTTCAATTACTCGAACTCGAGATGTACAATCAAGAGCTTATTTAGATACGGCGATATAAAATCATGATTTGAAATTAGATAATTAATATAAAGTTGAAATTTTAATTCAAATATGTCATTTGAACTTTTTAAATTGTATTTTTCTAAAAAAAAATTTATAAATGTTATACTCTCATTTCAAATGAGCAAACTATGTAAGGCATCCTATTGATAAAGCATATCTCCATGTTCGTTTCTTATAAATAAATATTTATGATTACATTCTTTCAAATGGACATAATTTTATAACGATTCACTAATTTAAAATAATAGTAACTAATTATTCATTAATATACTTTACATCATACAAACAATCTCCTAACCCTAAGTATAAGTCTTTTCTTCTTTTTTTTTTTTGCAAAAATTTATAATATCACGTCTTATTTCTTTTGTAAAATATTACACTTTTAAAAAAATTTATATCGCGAGTTAATTGAAACCTCAACTTAGATATATAAGTACTAGTTAAAAATTATAATCTTGTTATCGTATATTCAAAGTGCGAACGTCTATTATGGACGGAGGAATTTCAAACGATTTTGTTACATGCTTATGTCAATATATAAAATAGAGGTTAACTTATAGAAAGAATTACACCATCAGCTCATTTTTTGAAATACTTATTTTTTAAAATTTAATTATCATATTTTCGTATTTAAAAATTAATGCTTTTTTTAACTTTTCTTTTTCTTCTTCTTAACATTCTCTATAAATTTAAAAAAATAAATAAATAAAAGTTAAATATTTTTTACTGTTAATGTATATAAGTTAATCTCAATAAAATATTGTAATTATGGGTTTGTGCTGAGAACATGTATTATGGATCACATATGGCCTACACCATTTGGCTTTTCAAGAATCCCAGCTGTTAATTATATTTTAATAATGTTGTCTTATTTATTATCTTTGCTTCTAGAAATAATTATAATAATTCGAGTCACAATTTTAAGTTAATATATAACAATAACATTTAAAATTTTAAAATTAGTAAAAATATAAATGCGTAGTACTAGTTAAATATAAACTCCATTTATTATTATTATTATTATTATTATTATTATTATTATTATATTAATTGCTATAAATATCATAAACTTAAAATTATACATTCTTTTTTTTTTGGTAGTAAAAGTTATACATTCACCCCTATGTTGATTAGGAAAATTAAAAAAAGTTATTTTAAATTGCTTAGAAGACAAACAAAATCAAAAGCAAAGCAAAAGGATTTTGTAAGACTTTCTATTTGAGGAAAGTTTCTAGAATGTCAACAATTTTTATTTTATTGTATTAGACTAAGTAAATCACTTTTTATAAAGTAAAGTTGAGTTAATTTTTTGCTAAAACTTTGTTGTAATTTTAGTCTAATAAAATAAAAAATAAATGCTCCCATAAAAGGATCTTTTATTTTGTATCCGCAATATATATATAAAAGTGAAGTATTTGTTTATTTCTTATTTGGGCTGAGCTTGTTTGACTGATTTTAATTTTGTCAAAATCTCATTGACTATAACAAATAAATAAATTAGAAGATAAGTAAAAGATTTTGTAAGACTTGCAATTAGTTGAGGAAAGTTTCTAGAACTTCAATTTAATTATTGATGAGTAAAGTTGAGTTAATATATTGTTTAAAATTTATTTTGTAATTTAATATTTTAGTTTAGTGCAATAAAAATAAGAAAAAGTGAAATTATTCTTTCATAGAAGAAACGTTAAGAGGTGCAATAAAATCATAGCATGTCTCTAGCAAAATTATTTAATTTGACCAAACAATTATTTCAGTGAGTCAAATAATTGAGACTTTTTTATTCTTATATTATAACATTTATTTATACTGCCGTCCTTTTTAATAATTTTTAATTTGTTAGATATTTAATTTAGGTCAAAAATAGACTTCTAGAAGTTATAAATAAATTTAAGTTTTTTATTATTATTTTCACTTAGTTTACCAAAGTTGGAAAGTCATGATATTGCATCACTCCTAAAAAAGTAGAGTAAATAAAGTCATCATATCATTAAATTTGAAAAAATTTAATTTATCATTATATCTTTATGTTTTATAGTTAATTATATTTTTATGTAATAGTATTCACATTATTTTTAAAAATAGTGTAGTGTATAATCTGAATAATGTGAATATTATTGCATGAAAAAATTATGCAAACAATTATAAAACAAATGATGAAGTATAAGTTCCTACGAACAAGGAATGTCAATCTTATTTATAAATAATGAAAGTTAGTAACGCTTAAAACCTCTTAGTTACACCTCCTAAATATATTTCCTCCTCCGTTTTCAATAGTGCATGAACCCTAGGCAAGTTGGTTCATGCACTATGGGGAACGGATTTAAGCATATCTAGCTCTCATGCTTAATTTAACACAATTTGCATAAATTTTTAATTCTTATTAATTAGTGTTTTTAAGATAACAAATCTTGTTAAAGTAAGCTAATAATTCCAACATCAAGAGTCTCAACAACAACAACAATCTATCTCCCTTCACGAGGTAGGGATAAGGTCAACGTACGTTGTACCCTCCCCAAACCCCACCTTTGATATTACACTGGGTATGTTGTTGTCGTTGTATCACAAAAATACAGTATTTTCTCTACTCATATCACTTACTTCAGTGCCATTCCAATCCCCCTAGAGTTGTAGAACCCATTCCTTCCCATACTTCACAACACCCCACTTCTTCATTATCAACACCTTCCATGTTGCAATCCCACCAGCCACTTCCATTTGCATCTGCAAGCAGAAAAAAACGATATTTTTTTTTCATTTTTATGAGAACTTGCATTTCGAAGTACAGTAAAATATGTTCTAGTAGAAGAATGCTTTCGTGAAAGACTACGAGTTTAAGTGGACTTACAATGATTGAAGAGAGTGCTAGGTTTCTCAATGTTATCAAGCTTTCTCACTTTTCTTCTAGGATTTTCTGCTGAGCCTTCTCCGAGAACTGCCAAAACCTTTCGAGCTGATTGGTTTACGCTGCTACCTAGAAAACCATTAAAAATGTAAAGGGCTAAACAACAAGAATTCATCGATCACTCCTGAGAAAATACCACATTCAATATATGATCCATGAAATCCAAGAACATGTAACATATTGGGATATTCGATAATATTTTTCCATATAAGAACTCCAGAGCATATGTATTTGGATTAACAAGAAAAGTACTTTATCTAAACATGGGAACTAAAATAAATGGAAGTAGTTATTTCTCAAGAAAATCAATTGATCAAGCACTAGTAACAAGATATAAAAGAGTTGTGTATTTAAGTGGTGGATTTTGAATATTTTCATTTTGTTACAACAGCAAGACTATGGAGAGTCAATATTTGAACTTTATGGGTTCTAAATTCTAGGATAGTGATATAAGGTGTTAGTAACTGAGTTGAAAATTTAATTCGTGTATATAACGAGGTTTGGACTAAAACTACTAGATTCGGCAAACCTGTACATACATAAACTTCTGGCTATATACCTGGCAAAGAGGATCCTCAAACATTTAGAATCTAGAGGATTAACGCTCTTTTTGAGGGGCTTAAGAAATGGGCAATGATTCTATCCTTCTGAGACCCCGCTTGTGGGATCACGCTGGGTATGGTGTTGTTGGTGTTGTAGGAAATGGACAATGATCTTATTCAAGGTATCATCTTTCAGGAAAATTAGAGAAGAAAAGCAATTTGCCTTTTTCTCCATGTAGCCAATATTGAACTCAAACTCTCAATTTCAAGCAATGATCATAACTTAACTCAAGCGGAATAATCCCTTTGGCTTCTAGAGTTCAACGCTTCTCCAAGTACAACAGGGAATGGAAATATTAGTAGATACTCTATATATATATATATATATATATATATATATATATATATATATATA